AATCAAAGATTTGATCTAACATAAAAGTGTGCAAGTTGGCCAAAAATATGTATTTAGAAGGTATATTATATAAAAATTAATTATTTACTAAATAGTCCTTAAAAATATGTATTATATGAGATTATTTTTTTTAATTTTTTTTAATATAATATTTTTTTATGATATATCTAATAATAGTTTCTATTTGTAGATTAAAAATAAATCAATAATTGTAGATGTATTAAAAAGTATGATATTATATTATAAATGCTCATAGTATGTAAAAATTAGTTAAAAGGTATTAATATTAATAAATCTAGATATGTATTAGAATAGTTAGTAGATTAAATTTTAAAAAGCTAGTATAAGAAACTTTACTTTATTTTTTTAATTGTTTTGATTTTTATATATAAATATATATATGACCTAAATATTTAATATGAAGTCTTAGCATAAGGTGGAAGCCTAAGAATAAAAATCTAAACTAGTAGGAGGCTAATTGGGAGGGATGAAAGTAAGGCATGGTCGGATGAAGGCAAGGAATGGGGAACTTCATCCCTATTGATCAAATAACATGCTCAATGGACTTTGAGGAGGCTGCTTGCAACCTTAACAAGGATTTTGGTAACTTCAAAGAGGGTATTTTGGGAATTAGAAGCTAGGACTGTAAAGTTTAGGATTTGGACTATAATTTTTGTCTAAAATTTTGAAGATTTGGAATTAGGGTGAAGAAGATATAATTGTTGAAGTTAAGGTATTAATTTAAGACATATTATTACACTTTTGAGGATACGAGGAGTTGTACAGTAGCTTTTGAAGATCAGAAGGTGTAGATAAAACAACAATTTTAAGATCTACATCTTTTATGAAAGAATTATTGCTTTTGGATTTCATGTAAAGGAGTTATAGAGAGTTGAAGGCGGCACTTCCAAATCAAAGGTAGTAAGTTAATAGTTTTGTTTATAGTAATGGTTGGAGCCATAACTTGAATTTTTGGACAAATTTTTGGCTCAAACTTATTGGAGAATATAACATTTTCTGTTATATATATATATATATATATATATATATGTGTGTGTGTGTGTGTGTGTGTGTGTGTGTGTATTGTAGCATTTAAACTTATATTTTGTGAGATATGAAGAAAGTTTCACATGCATATATAAAGACAAGGGTTTAAAGCTACTGATAGGATTTTCAAGATATCTCAAGATCCATAATGAATTTGCAGTTGAAATTTATTGTAGAAATTAATAAGAATACATGAATATCTCATGTAAAATTTGAGTTTGTTTGGATGGTTGGATTAGAAGATATGAGGTGTTGAAATTTGGGAAAATTTCCACATAAGGATATATAAGGTTTTAGAGGATTTTAAAGGTAGGATTTGTAATGACTATTGACAAATCTCAAAGATAATTATTGAAGATTGTAGGTATAGCTCTTAGAACCCTTATGTTTGCACATGGATAGTTATATGTTGCCTTATCATGATGTATGTCTCCAAACATGATTAAGATCTTATATCTTAAAAATAATAAAGACAAAAATACTACCATAAATATAATTTATTCAAAAGTTTTTTAAAATTATCTATTTTATTTTTTTCATAAATAAAAATATATATTTATCAATTAAAGTGAAGCAACTTAAATGATTCTATTCTTATGTATATATTCTTTTATTCATTTTATTTATTTTCTTAATTAAAATTTCTTTAGGAATTGTGAATTATTGAATTAGCAACTACAAATTAAAACTGATATTTTTTTGTGGACAATAACATAGGTTTCTACTATATATGGAGGTATGAATATACAAAGAATGGCAAGTTTGTACTTACATGAATAACAATTAGTTTTTTAATCATAGAAAATCAAAATTAAGAATTTCATAATCAAATAATTTTTAGGATAACTATCTTCTTATTTAGCAACAAAAAATAATGTTGAAAATATCACATGTGACAACAAATCATTCTCTAGTAACAAGACACTTCTTTTAATCAAAATGTGTGGCGCCTCTTTAAAAAATCCTACCATTCTTATAGAAAAAATATTTATTATACATAATATGTGTTGTAGAAACACCATCATATTGTGTTAAATCTAGTATAAAAATGTAGCCAATGGCACAGACTTCTACTTATACTTTCTTGACATTTACAAAGATATTTTTTTTTGAGATACTTTTAGTCTCTAAATTTATTAAAACCGTACATAATATTTTTAAAGTTTTTTTGAAAAATATTTTTAGACTAATAAAATATTTTATAATTATTTTAATTTTTTAAAGATATTTTTATAAATCACTAGTATTATAAATAAATATAACACAAATAACACCTTACTTTTAAAAAAACTCTATTTTTATTTTATTTTATATTTTTTTAATTTTAGAAATAATATTATATATAGATAAGATACTATTAATGCCATTATAATTTTTGCTATTACTACAATAACTTATAATCCACTCAACATATCTTTTTAGTTTTTTTATATTCCAATCATTTTTTTTTTTCAATCTTATAATTTGAAAGGTATTAAACAAAGAAAAGTTAATTGGTTTAAAAGGTATTGAACACATGCAGCATGTAGTAGATGGTAATAGAAAAAACCATAGTAGCATTAGTAATATCTTTTATATATATTCAATAATTAATTCTTTAAAAACTAATAATTCCTAATAATTAATCGAAATTTTGGAATCCAATATCATATAGTGTAAAATTAATAATCTTTAAATTCTAAGAATAATTTGCTTTTTAATGGACTTTTATTAATTAAGAGAGGTAATTAACAAAGACCACATGGTAGAAATAATTGAATGATGCAAAGCTACATGGCTACCAAGATAGAACAAGCAACCTAGATTCTACAATCTTAGCAAGAATAATTTCTATTAAGCCTTCAACATGTCATATCTAATAATTAACAAACTAAGGTAATTATTTTTATTTTTTAATAGATAATATTAATTAATAAAAAAAAAATATATATTATTATTTTATTTTTTCTTATCTTTTTATTCTTAAATATTATAATAGATTTTTTGTACTAAGAAATTTTATATTAAAATGAACATGAGTAGATATTAAAAAAAACAATAGTTTAATGGAAAAAATTACCAAATTAGAAGAGAGATGAGAACGGTAACAAATTTATTGAAGAAAATAAAAGAATAATCATAAAAAAAAAAAGTGATTAATTAAAGAGATTTATAAGTGATAAATTTTATAAAGGTAATAAATAAAAAAGAAACGATTCCATAAAAAAAAAATTAATCTTTAAAAAATTTTAAAATTTAAAGTCCATAGAAATTTGTGTAAAAACTAAATAATAATAAATTATTATTATAATATTTAAATTGGTAATCTAAAATATTTTTATATGTGATTTCTTCATAAAATATTTTGTATGTAATTAGAGTGTTGAAAGATTATAAATTAAATTTGATCGTTATTTAAATACTTAATGTATAGTCCAATTAATTGCGCATGTTTGACAAGTCTTAAACAAATAAAAAAACTCATTGATAATTTATAGTAGAATTATATCTATTTTTTAGTTATAATCTCAATCAATTAAATCAATAACTTGATTTCACAAGAGATACTGAGATTAAATACATCAAATAAAGACAACTGAGACGAGAATAATTTATTTTTTGCAATCATGACTTTGTTAAATTTTTTCAATCATATTTTATAACTAGACAAAATATTTGGTATCATAAATGGAAATGCTCATCATCAATAGTGATCTTTAATACTAAAGATTAAAAATAAGTGCTTTTAGAATTTATCATTTATATATTGCACACTTACATTTGGCATTTTTGAATATGAAATGATTTGATAAAGAAACTTCACTTTGCTTTCTTATAGATTAAATAAGTATTTTGTAACTTCATTAATTCTATATATTAAATGCACTTTTGGTGCTTTTAAACTCTAAAATGATTCAAAGAGAACTTTATTTAAAAAATTATAATATAAAATTTTATTAAAATAATATATAAAAATCAAACAATTAGATTGATTAATTTGATATTATTGCATAAAATACAATATGATATAGAAATTATTAATTTAAAAATATCTTCCATCATTAGAATCTTTGACTTAATAATGTTATATTGAATGTTATTGTTCCAATTGAGATTGTTTTTTTGTTTTTTTTTTGAAGTAGGTTGTAACCGACTTTCATTATTAATACAATAACTACAAATTAAAGCTATTAAAATCTAAAATCTAAATATATATATATATATATATATATATATATAACCATTAGCTAAAAATTTGTTAAAAAAACTAACTAAATAAATTTATATTCAAAAACACACACACACACACACACACACATATATATATATATATATATATATCATCACACTAATCTATATATATTTCTATAATCAATTTTAATTCTATTTTTTTCTTCTTTAATGAGATGGATACTTAAATTGTAGTCTTTGGTATACTTTTAAGAATATTTATTTATATCTTTTGCAATCAACTTCTACGAACCTTCTATTATTTGAAACTCTAATGCCATATATTAAAAATTTGAATATATGTGTGATTTGATTTTTTTAAATCCATCATTTAAAACATAGTTTCTTTAATTTTTCCTAAAAAGTACCATAATTTAAGATTATTAATCACTCATCTGATTTGATTTAGTTATTTAGTTATTTTTATTTGGATTTATCAAATAGTCCCAATTTTTCACCACCCACTAATTAGTCACATCCAATCTCATCATCCTGACCAATAATGGCGGATGATCCCGCGTCCGACGTGGAGACCAGGGCCACGCGGACACGCCACGTCACCAGCTCAAGCCGCCAGCGCACCATCCAAGCGGGCAGACGGAATGTTTTCTAGAACCTGCCCTCTCGATCGCCTCGAATATCCGGAACCTAGATGACGCTTTCACACATGGGCAGGGTGCGACGCCGTGGCTCCGGCACAAGAAAGCGGAGCTCACCCCCCTACACAGTCTGCGGTACCGCATGTGTCAGATCTGACAATTACCAGGAAACCTGAACAAATCTGTTTAAAATTTACAATCTCTGATGCGATCGACGTCGCACAGGTTGCGAAGGCCAGCAATGGAAATCGGATTGATGACTTTTAGGGAGAAGGAGCCCCTTGAAATGCCGCTGTTTCCATTGCATTCCCGACGCCGTTGCGCGGATTTTCCCGTGGGAGGTTAAAGGATTGGCACTACGTTGATGAAGAAGAATGAGTGGGTGACGAAGCGTGTGAGCTTGGCTCGTAAATTCGACGATTGTAAGTATGTGGTTTTAGCACGGAGAGGGTGGTGGAGATGCGGTGACAGGGGTCTAGGGTTTTCGTAGCCCAGGAAGGTCGAGACTTTCGTTGTTTGAACGGGAATTTTGGTGGAAGTGGAGTGTGGAGGGGAAGAAATGGATTCGTGGGTTCTGATTTGATTATGGTAGGGCGGAGTTTTGAATTGAGGGTGTGATTGGTGTCAAGGGTTGTTTAAGGGTCAAAGGTTGAGAGTAGATGTGCTACTGGAGAGGTTTAGTTAAGTGGGAGTATTGGGATGGTATTTGTTGCTGCAGTTAAGAGTGTTTGGGCTATGTTGTTTTCGCGGATCGGCGGGAATGTTTTTTCAGTTTCACATGGGTGATGATATCCATGAGAGGTGATGTGAGTGGATTAAGGAGTTGTTGTGTCTTGTGAGTTCCTTTTTCACAGTAATTGTTGATGATGCTGTTGAGGTGATTGGTAGGTGAAGACGAAAGTGCCTGGAGTTTTTGATTGTTTTGAGGAAGGGTTGAGGTACCAGCTTTTCAAGATGATGGGATCTTTCATTACCAGGGGAATCATGTAAGTGCTTCCTCTCAATTTCGACTGCAATGACACTCTCTTCAAGCATGTGCAGAGCTTGGGTTTACGTTGTAAGTGGACGCTGAATTATTTATTTGGACGTTCGAATGATTGGTACGAGGAGCAGTTGTTTGCACGAGTACTAGCATTTGGTTGTCATCAAGCCGTTTATATGTTCAGATGCCATGTAGGAAATCTGAGAATTGGCGCGTTGCTTTTTAGACTCGGGACTAATTTTTGCCGGATGGTATTGCAGAATGTTACTTGGTTATGTGTATCCGGCATATGAATGCTTCAAGGTAGTGGAGAAGAATAGGCCCAATTTGGAGCACTTGCGATTTTGGTGTCAGTACTGGTATGGTTTCTAATTGATGAACGTGGGTACAGTGTGAGATGATTACTTTGCGGATTCTTGCATTTTTAAGAAGAGAGGTTGGTGATTCTTTGTAAGCCTTTGTTTCTTTGTAATCTGCGATTACGTAAACTGATGATTTCTTGGTTATATGCTTCTGACAATCTCGGTAACTTCGGTATTTGTCCGCAGTTTGTATGATTCTGTGAATCGGATATCAGCATGTCGGTGTTGGATAGTAACGGTAGTGTCATCAAGATATGTTCATTTCGCGATTTTTTCCTTCAGGAAGTTGGTTTAGACAAATTTTCGTCGTGTTGCAGGATTATAATTGCAGCTCTTACAGTGTTCGAACGATTGGGAGAAATTATGATTTCTTGGTACGTTTTCTTTTTTGCATTTTGCATTTTGTTCAGTTTTTTTTATATTTCTATTATTTTTATTATTTTTCTCGATGGTGTCGGACATATGTATGGAAAAATTGCAAAAGCCGCCATGAAATGAACCCGAACAATCACTAATTTACTCGTTCAGGTTCATTCCACACCCCAGTCTTATGCTATTTAGTCGAGCCCTGTTATTTATTTTGAATTTTCTTTTCTTTTCTTTTCTAATTCATAGCTTTTGTTGTTTCAGGGTTCCAATGTATAATGAAGCGAAGCTGGCTTTTATCATATATCTTTGGTATCCAAAGACTCTGGTGCTGTTCAGCACTTTCTCGACTCTTCTTTGAATACTGGCGACGGCTTGAGTAATGCTTGTGCTATTAGATGAAATGTTAACAGTTGACAATTTACCACCGAGTAGTTATACAGCTATCAGTCCTAACAATCATACTGTTGTCATGCATGCATTCTATTACCTTGATTTGTGTTCTGGTAAATATTTTGTTGATACTGTTCTGAATACCTTTTCCTTAATCGATTTTCTGATTGGCTCTTGTCTGGATTCTGGGTATTGCATGCTTTTAGGTGTCTTAATACATCCCGAATTTGGTTTTTCTGCAGGGAACATCGTATGTGTACTTTACCTTTTTGAGACCCTTTGTAGTCAAGCACGAGTCTGAGATTGACCGTCAACTGAATGAATTAACGACCAGAGCTGGAGACTTGGCCTTTTTCTGGTGGCATCGGAGTTCAGGTTATATTCAAGCACAGTTCTATCAGCTTCTAGCTTATGTTGCCTCACAGTCAAATAGGACTCAGCAGGGTACAGATTCCCGTCAAATTCCTCAACCTTCTCGACAACCTCCTCGTCCTACTTCGCAAATCCCTCATCATGATGGCCCGCAGGTACTTTCTGATTCTGAGAATTCAGCCATGATTATTGCTACTAAGTTGTCTTTATTTGCGTTAGACCGTATTGTAAATGTTTTATGCATTCGCACCATGATCTCGTGCAATGTCCCAGTCTCGTAATGCATTTTTACTTTGTGGTTGTGTAGGGTGGCCCTCAAGTCTGTCCACCTCCTCCGTCTGAAGGGCTTCCTGAATCTGCTCCCGGAGGTGCAGGTTATCCTCCGGTAAATGTTGAAGGTCCTCATCCTCCTCCAGCAGCACCCCTGATTGGGTCAGGTCTTTATCCTCCTGTGGCTGGCCAAGCTGGTCAAGGGCCCTACCCCCCTCCACCAGGACCTCATTCTACTGGCTCAGTCTACCGTCGGCGTGGATCAGGAACAGGAACAGGGCCAGCGAATCTTCTCTCAGAGGATTCGGATTCGGATTCGGATTCAGATTATGATATAGTGGAGCACAGTGCAGAGAACCGCCCGGAAGGTCGTCCTGAGGGTCGATTGGAGAGTAAGCCTCTGCAAGCAAATCCATCGACTGGAGTGCATGATGTGCCCTTAAAAGTTTATAACACGAGGAATCGTCTGCGATCCAGTGGTTCCCGGTGAGAAGTTGATGATGGCTGCTTGCCAATGAAGAACGAACTTCCTCAGTATGCTAGTCACGGTTGTCTGTCCAGACCATTTCGTTGGATTGATTTGGAATGGTGAAGGATATGAACTACCTAACGTAAATTTTCGTTAAGATCATGGTGAACAAACGTCAATGTGGCAAACTTGCTGGTTGGTATTGGGACTGCTGAAAATCGTCTCTATCAAGCTGATACACCCAAGGCATATTTTAAACGAGCCAGGGAAATTGGACCGCTGCAAGTGTAAGATTTCAACCTCTAGCACTTTTTGTTACACAGCCCAACCAAGGAGTGGAATACGCACAATTTTGTGTCCGGTACATATTACACTTCGCCGTCATTCAAACCTGCGTTTCTGTGGTATTTGTTTGAATGGGCCACTTTTCATTTTTATTAACCATTGACTTCGTTTGCAAAGAATGAGATGTTTTTGTTTTTACTTTTATAATTTGAATAGTTTATAATGGTTAAATTTTACAATACATTTTCAAATGTTAACGATAGGGTTATAAAGGCTCATATAAGAAATTTTGATAAGACCATCATAATTTGTACATTTTATCAAATAAAAAACTTTAAAACTACATGTATTTTAATTTGCTTTAAAAAAAAGTTACCAATCAAACTTAATTAGTTTTAAAAAGCAATTCCATGGATTGTGTGTTTTTTATGTATACAAGTTGTGTATTAGAAAAATTGAAGTAGACTTGTATCATATATTAACTTCTGTCTATTTGAAATTTGCTTAAGACTATGAGATGCTTTTACAAACACTTCAAAATCTATGCATTTTTTTGTGGATAGATATAATTATTCTAAGTTCTTAGTAACATTTTTAATATATAATGTAACATACTTTGTCAATATTCTTCTCAAACACTGTACATGATTGTACATTAGCATATTCCTACTATTGATACTTTTAGTAATTTATGTGCATTAGATGTATTTATAACAGCTTGGATAATAATGTCAATCCATGCTATTATTTTAATCCTTGTTTGTAAAACAGAATGTACCCTTTCAGACTTTAGAATACATTAAAGCATTTATCGATGGTCAACAAGCAATTTGGTTATTTACTAAGCCATAATTTTCTTTGTATAAGATCTTATTTTTTTATTTTAATGAATTTAATATTTTAAATAGATGCTTTTGTAATTTTTAACGAACAATTTTTAACATTATCCTTAACTTCATGCACAGTTTATCAACTGAGACAATAAAATGATGGTTGTTGAGTTGAAAGTTCCAAATATGGTTATCTCTATTTTTATTTTCTTTTCTTGAACTATTAAAGATTTTAAAAACCAAAATTACTTTATTTAACAATAGTCTAAATAAGAATTTCCTTTTCAAAAAAAGTGTAAATAATTAATTATCTTTATGAAGAGGGTCGAAAGTCATTTGGTGCAATAAAAAATAAAAAATAAAAATGAAAAATACTTTATGATGATAATTTGAAATCAAACCCTTTGAAACTTATTTTCTATATTATTTATGTTATTTTTTTAATTTTAATGTGTTTAATGGATATATCAAATAATTCAATATATATATATATATATATATATTGATTTATTCAACTTAATTAAAGATCTTTTATAATTAAATATTCTAAATTTTATGTATATTATGGAATAATAATTGACCTACTTTGTTCAATTGATTTACCACCATAAATACAAACATAATCAATAATAATATTTTCAATAATATGTTTGTTAAAAAGAACCTTAGTATGATAAATTTATAAAGTGACAATTAATTTTTTAATTAATCAAAACTTTTACAAGTATCCAAACACACTATAGAACTTCTATTAAATACACCAAGATCCTATCTTGTTTTAGTTGAGTTTGTGAAAACATCTATTCATATTTTACATAATAAACAAGTTTATATTCTTTACTAAGGTCGTTAATATCATCTATGTCTAATTCTATTTTTCCCAAAACTAAGAATCCAACAATATAATATTTTTTATTTATATATATATATATATATATATATATATGTGTGTGTGATTAAAAAATTATATAACAATAAAATTGCAATTACATAAATTATAACTATAATACTTTTAATGAATACTTATAGAAGAATATTAAATTCATTCACCTAAATCTTAAATCAATCTACCACATGACTTCCAAATAATGACTATTCTAGTCATTCCGCACCTCACCTTTGCCACAATCATCTCCACATCTTTCTACCTTCACCTTTGCATTAATTTACTCTGAGTTAATCATTCTACATAAGCAAGTTGTGTTACATCTTAACTATAGCCTTCTTCAACTTCTTCTACCTTTAGTTGTTTTAATTTTTTATTTATTCATTTTAATAACTTAGATAAGGTCCTCATACAACATGGCAAAGAATTAGCCACATTTTCATATTAACCAATAATATGAATATCACAATTTGTTGTTATTATGGGTCAATTTAAAATTAAAGTGGGTCGATATAATATTCTTGTATTTTTATATCTTTGTATGAAAATAGCCCTTTAATCTCACAGAATTTAATTTTTGTGATTTTTGTTTTGTATTGTTGATATCAAATTGTAAAACTTGAGGAAAAAAATAACTTTAAACTTTAAAAATAGATATTAGAATACTTAAAATCTGATACACAACTAAAAAAAGTTAAATTGTAAATACAAAAAAATATATGTAATACAGTGCAATTATTAGAATAGACATTATTATTAAAAAAAAAAAAAAAAAAAAAAAATGATTGCAATTTGTTTTAAATCTATATTGATTAGATATCTACTTATTTTTTTGAAATTCTAAATTTTGCATTCAGTAAGTGGAACTTTTAAAATAAGTTAAACAAATCTTGAAAAACTAAGCTAATATTATTATATTTAAAATATAAGTACATAAATCATCTGTAAACAAATAGTTTGTATAAATAAAAGGTTATAATAAAAGTCACAAAAAAAACTTGTTGCAATATTTAAATGATTATTAATAGTAAAAAACTATTATAATCCAAAACATCATAATAATAATAATAATAATCATATTCTTGATTTTGACTTGTTCTTTTTATATTTTTATCTTTTGTCTTTCTATCAAAATGTAAGAAATTTTCCAAGAACATGAATAATATCTAAATTATTAGATATTTATGTATAAATATGAAAGAAATAATAATAATATATTTATTTATACTATAATAAAGTATTATAATGGACATTACTAACTATAAATATAGAGTATTGAATAGTATAGAATCAAGACTAATATATGAGAAAGGTGTTGATAAGATTGAAGATTAATCTTTAATATCTTAATATCTTCCAAATGTTGTATACATTTGGCTTATATACCAATTTTTTACATGTTCAATAAATTTTTAGGGATATTCTAAGCATGCATTATACATTACATTTTTATTTTTTATTTAGAAAAAAGTGAAAATTCTAAAAACCACACACTTGTTTAATCTCCAATCTTTGCAGCAACAAAGTGATATTACAAATATTACACGGATTTCTAATTTCATGCATGTAATCAATAATCAACTTACTAAAATTTCATTCAATAATGTGTAAGATTAGATTAATACAAAAATAAAAAATAAAAAATACAAAAAGGTAAAATTTGTGTTTTGGTAAAACTTGGCAAAGCTTATTAATAAACAATCAAATGTAAAAGTAATCAAAACATTTAAATGCCTTCATTAGCTATTTCAAATTTCTTATTGAATTAGGTATCTCATAATTCTAATGCCATATTTCTCTGCAATATGTTTGAGAACTTGCCGAACTGTTTTATAAAATGGATCCGTAAAAAGTAATTGTTCTTTATACAAAGAAGGTTACCCGATGACCACGGCCTAATCAATGACCCCAAAGGGAAAGAAGAAGAAAAAGAAAAAGAAGAAGTGCCTCCACGGTGGACAGCCACCGTGGAGGCGCATGGGAACCACTTCACGGAATTAGGCTCGGGAACGCAAACTCGCTGGATGCATGAGAACGAAGGGGAGTGCGAGTGAGATCCGTACGTGGGAACATGGGAACAAGAGATAGAGAGAGCGATAGTAAATGAGTGAGTGAGGGTAGTGAGTAGTAAGTGCGAGTAGTAAGTAGTGAGTAGTGAGTAGTGAATAGTAGTAGTAGTTAGTGAGGTAGAGACTCTTGGGCTCCCTATGACACACACTCTCCTTCGGGGAGGGGGGGAGAGAGCCCTTTCATCTTCCGGCCCCACTACCGGACATTACGCCTCTGCCACCCTGGCAGGACGAGCCGGGCTGGGCTGGGGCATAGCACGCCCGGCCCATGTTCGGCACATGAAGACCCCTTCTCCTGGCAACAGTTTAAAAACATTATCAATTTAGAAAACATTGTTCAAAATTTGAAATTACACAAAAATATGTGAAATTTTTCGTAAATTTTTCGAATGATAAAAAAATTATCATGATTATTTATTTTAAAAAATCACCATTTTTTATGTATTAAACAATGCTTTGAATGAATCTAGAATAGTAGACAAAGCATCAAAACGTTAAATTTTCAATAGGTTCTTAGACATGGTTTCATGATGATTTTATGTTTTTATTTTCTTCCTTTCTATAAAGTCATGGGTATCATTCTGTGGTCTTGGTTACACCCAACAAAATCATAGTGTTGTGAATTGGCAACAAAAAGTAGCATCTGGATGAATTCATAAGCTTTTAAGAAGTCAAATGTGTACAAAAGATTACAACAGCATTTGAAAAATATTGTTACAACGCAATTGTTTTAAAATAATAATTTTACTGTTTTATGACCATTGTGGTAGTATATTTTTTTATTTATATACGCACATAAATATCATACATATATAAATCTAAATCTATTCTATAAAAATACAAAAACAAATCACTTTAATGAATTCAAACATATTTCCATGATTTTTAATACGAACAAAAATGTTAGATAAATATATGTGTATATAGCCCTAAATTTAATAAGCATTTTAGAACAACATTACAAGATCTTCAAATCAAATAGAATTACAGGTGGCTATTTAAGGTCTTTGGCACACAAAATTATAGTTTTTGGAACCAGAGGATTTTATGGTATGTTAAAGTGCATACTGTCAAATATATATATATATATATATATATAATTTTGAGAAACCAAAGGATTCATTGTCACTTAAAAATTATAAACACCAATCAGTAAAACCTTCTCTCAAAATAAATGAGTAAAAAAATATTGAGCAAAGTGCATAGTATTGTTGTCTGCAAAATTATTGAAAGTGATGTCCTAAACCACATCCAGGTTATAAGTGCAACTCTGAGTCTATGAGAATCAATTTGAAAGACTCTTGTCTACATATTTTTAATTCTTACTTTAATAAAATTAAGGAACCCAATCAAATACATTGTAAACCCTACTGTAGTT